AGCAAGCACATGTCTGAGGCGACCTGCTGGTCGATGTGAGGGTGGCAGTCAGGCGGCCTTCGGCGGTGTGCCTGCGGGAGGTCTGCTGGTCCCACGGTTTTGGCGGCGGGTACGCCGAAGCTGCGGGACCGGCAGATCACCCACAGAAACGCCGCCGAAATCCGAGTGACCGCAGACTGCCTGCAGGCATGCCACTGGTGGCCGACTGACTGCCGTGCTTGGGGCGGCAAAAAACATAGAGCCGCCCCTCCTCATCGCTATAGAATCCAAGTGCTTCACAAACACAGGGCCGGCTCTAGGCACCAGCGTTCCAAGCATGTGCTTGGGGTGGCACTTCTCAAGGGGCGGCATTCCGGCCCTTTGGGGGCAGCTCTTTTTTTTTTGTTGCTTCGGCGGCAGCAAAAAACCTGGAGCTGGCCCTGCACAAACACTAATGAATTGTCTATCACTGTGAGGTGAGGTTGGGGGGGGGGGCTATTACCTCATTTTACAGAGAGCGATCTGAGGCACAGAGGGATTAAGTCAAAAAAGTTTCTATTAATTTTAGGTGCCCAATTTGAGATGACAAGGACCTGTTTTTTCAGAGTACTTAGCATTATATAGCACTTTATATGTTCAAAGCACAACTCCCATTGACTGCATTTGCAACTGTGAGTGCTCAGCTCTTCTGCAAATCAGATCCCAGAGTATCAAGTTGGGCACCCAGAAAATGAGGCAAACACACCTAGTGACACACCTGTGGAAAGTTTGGTTTAAGCGACTTGCCCAGCATCTCTGTTGCAGAGGCTGGGACAGAATCCCATTTTCCAGGACAGCATTCAACTGCATAACCATGAGACTACTTTCTCTTCCTATAATCTCAACTCATTCCCCACACACCTTCCAACTTCTGCAACAAATGAACCAGGGGTTCCTACAGAGAACAGCCTCTTTTACTACACAACCCTGTTTGATCCCCTGATAGGTCCATCCTGTGCACTGAATGAGGCAGGAGTTTTATGGAAAAACCACACAAACAGTCTTATTTACATGATCTCATACTATCATAAGACATACACAAAAGGGGGCTAAATTAAGATTTCACAGGCAAACTTAATTCTGCATTTCCTAACTTTTCAGTGCTTGACTTTGCAACCTTAACGTTCCTTTAACGTAGTGATTTTGTGTCTCATTTCTTACATTATTAAAAAGGCAAAGTGAAAACAAATTCCATCACTTGGCATCATATTGATACTGACATGGGTCATCAGCAGAGTTGGAACCTTTAGACCAGGGATGGGCAAACCTTTTGGCCTAAGGGCCATATCTGGGTATGGAAATTGTATGGCGGTCCATGAATGCTCACAAAATTGGGGCTGGGTGCAGGAGGGGGTGAGGGCTCTTGCTGGAGGTGCTGGCTCTGGGGTGGGGCCAGAAAAGGGGAGTTCAGGGTGCAGGAGGGGGCTCCGGGCTGGGGCAGAGGATTAAGGCTCTGCCTGGAGGTGCAGGCTCTGGGGTGAGGCTGGGGGATGAGGGATTTGGGGTGTAGACGGGTGCTCCAGGCTGGGAACAAGTGGTTCGGAGGTCAGGAAGGGGATCAGGGCTGGGGCAGGGGCATGGGGGGGGGGGGGGGGAGGATGGGGGCTCGGGCGGAGGGTGCAGGCTATGGGGTGGGGCTGGGGATGAGGGATTTGGGGTGTAGGAGAGTGCTCTGGACTGGGACAGAGATTCGGAGGTGGATCAGGGCTGGGGTAGGGGGTCAGAGGTGCAGGCTCCGGGCAGTGCTTACCTCAAGCAGCAGCATATCCCCCCTCCAGCTCCTACGCAGAGATACGGCCAGATGGCTCTGCATGCTGTCCCATCTGCAGGTGCCGCCCACAGCTCCCATTGGCCAGGAACTGCAGCCAATGGGAGCTGCAGGGGCGGTGCCTGCGGATGGGGCAGCGTGCAGAGCCCCCGGGCTGCCCCTAAACGTAGGAGCCAGAGGGAGGACATGCCGCTGCTTCCGGGAGCCATGGCACACACGCGCGAAGCATCCCCCAACCCCGCTCCCCAGTTGGAGTGTGGGAGTGGGGCAAGCCTCAGACCCTGCTCCCCAGAGGGAGCTCAAGGGCCGGATTAAATCAGCTGGTGGGCCAGATGTGGCCCATGGGCCATAGTCTGCCCACCCCTTCTTTAGACTCACAGAACTTGTGTCAAAGGAGAAACTGATAGCAGTAGTAGGTTGTCATTCTCCATATGGACCAGTATTAGAAAGGATGAGGCACACACATGGACTGCAAAGGAACAGAGAGACTCAGGAATCTTGGGTTCCATCCCAGGTATTGCAGTGTAACATGTTCTAGTGCAGGGGTTCTCAACCTTTTTCTTTGTGAGGCCCCCCCCCAAACATGCTATAAAAACCTCCATGGCCCACTTGTGCCCAAGAACTGGTTTTCTGCATATAAAAAGCCAGGGCCAACATTAAGGGGTAGCAAGCAGGGCAATTGCCTAGGGCCCCATGCCACAGGGGCCCCCATGAAGCTACATTGCTCAGGCTTCAGCTGCAGCCCCAGGGGTTCCAGTCCCACGCGGTGGGGCTTCGGCTTTCTGCCCTGGGCCCAGCAAGTCTAGCGCTGGCCCTGCTTGGCGGCCCCCTAGGGGGCCCCAGACCCCTGGTTGAGAACCATTGTTCTAGTGCTCACTGACTCTTCTGCCCCTGTTCCCCGTAAGCCTGACCCACTCTGCCTTTATCCCCTCCCTCAGTCTCATGTTTTCCTCCCCAGCACCTCATCTGAGTCTCTGCTCCCACTGGGCTTCTCATCTCGGTTCCAGTCTCCTCGCCCATTCGATCCTAGTCTCCTTCTCTGGTCTCTACTTCCAAGTCCCTGAAATTTTTCAAAGGCTATAACTTGGCCAAATTTGCAGTTTTTCTAGGCACATCTCTAACACAAAAGCAATCCACCTGCCAAATTCTGAGCCTTGCTCCAAAGCGCGGAGGCACGAGAGTTTCTCAATGAAATAGTTGTAAGATTTTTTAAAATAAAAAATATGGGCAAAACGATGTATTTTTCTCTAATCTCATTCTCAGAAATGGCTGAACTATTTTTGCTGAAACTCTCCATAAACATTCAGCCTGAGGCAGACAGTCAGCACAGGAAATTTCATCCTGAGTGGTTAAAGCTTGCCAAAGTTATAAGCAACTGAAAACTGGGTTTTATGGGAAATATAGGCAGGACTACCAGTGCTGCCTATTATAAAAATGGGAATTTTGAGTGCCATATAGTGCACTACAAGGGAATTATTGCAGAACCACCATCTGGTCTCTGCATGGAAAGGCAGGAAACTCCACTGGTATTATTGTTTCAAAATTCTCAGATCAGGTATGGGGAACTACGGATATGTTTTAAGTTTATACATGTCAAACGGATCATTAATGGAAATCATGAACTGTACAAAATTTGATTATTTTGAATTTCTTAACTTGACAAGTTTCAGAGGGGTAGCCGTGTTAGTCTGTATCAGCAAAAACAACGAGGAGTCCTTGTGGCACCTTAGAGACTAACAAATAAATTTGTTAGCAAAAGCCCAAATAAATTTTTTAGTCTCTACGGTGCCACAAGAACTCCTTGTTGTTTTAACTTGACAAAACTCACTCCTTCACTGAGAACCACATATGTGCCAACACAAAAACTACTGGAGTCATACAAGCACAAGAAAAAACTGAACCATTATTTTTAAAGGGGGGGGGGGGGGGGGGGGGGGAAAGAGACTTGCATCCCTGAGCTACATTATACATTTTCCTAGATGCTACTTTAATAAACTTGAAAGTAATATAGCCTAGAGGGAGCAATTCTAGTGATGACTGAGAAGGCACTTTCATTCCAATCCTCTATTTTCAAGGGTTTATAATTCTGAAAAAAATCCTTCTATCTGAAATTATTCATGCTTGTTCTCAGTCTTTTTCTGAAAAGTTTGAAGAAAGTATGTTCATCTGTTTATTTTGTGTGTGTGTGTGTGTGGGGGGGGGGTCATTTGGAAATTTCTAGATCTAATCCAGACTAGGCAAGTCCTAAGCAAACAACATTGCTATTAGAGCTGGTTGACATTTTTCAAACAAATTTTCCTGTCAGACGTGGTTTCACTGAAATTTCAACACAAGTTTTCAATTTTCCAATTGGAAGAATTGTTTGTTCGGATGGACGTTTAGAACCCTTTTTTTAATTTCACAAATGTTAATTTGAAATGATAAAATCTGTTTCAACAATTTGACTTGTTTAGTTTTTGATAAAAATGTTATAATTTCCAATCTGAAGCTTTTTGGATTTTTTTTGTTTTGTAAATATTGCCATTATTTTGAGTTTAATTCTGCTTCAGAATGGAATGCAATTTCAAAATGTCAACATTTCCCATTAGAGGTACTTGGAAAATGCAGGTTTCCTCTCTACCATGTAATGGCTATTTGGAGCTCAAAGTGAAGGAAGTTTGATTATCAAAGTCCTGACTGAACAGATGTCCACATAACAGAAAGCACATCACACCTGATCTCTCTGCTGGCTGTCTCTACAGACATCAAATATTAAATAGGTGTAGAGAATTAATTAACCTCATCCTACAGAAGTAGATTTTTTTCTAGTCAAGTGAATACTGGAAAAGCTTTCACTATTACTGCCTGTCTCCAGAGGTACCTTTTGTTTCCACTAAAATTCACATATTTTAAAGTACTTTTTTTCAAAAGGGCCTCCTTAAACAGGACTGTACAGATAAGGAAGGAAACAGACCTAGTACCACAAACTTGAGAAAACTAAAAATCACTATTTTTTAAAACCTTACTTCTTACAGATAAAACAGTGGTCCTAAAAACAATAGATTAGCTTTTTGTAAGTCAGATTCATAGATCCAGTTAATGTGATATACATGATTTTGCAATAAATTTGAGATACGGGTCTGATTATTTTTAAATGATCAAAAGGCCTGCTTATTTTTCTTTTGTATTGCTCAGCTTCATTAAATGACAATATTGTTTAAGATATATATCTTACCTTTTTCTCCAATATTTGCCATAGATACTGCAAAAAAGAAAAGAAAAGAGAAATAAAATAAAAAACATGATTTGCTATTATTTGGAAACAGATAAAGTCGTAAATCAAATATTCCAAACATTAGTTTCCCCAACATTCCTTCGATTGTAAACAAACATCAAAACGTCAAGTTTGGACACACTGTATTTTTACACTGAATCATGCTTTTATTAAAATGTGTTTATGGTGTTGGTTTTTTGTGATGATTAAATAAATTATCAACACCAAGCCAGAGCTGAGCAGTGGTGCTGGAACAATGTTTATAGTGGGGTGCTGAGAGCCCTTGAACCAAACTTTAAACTCTGTATATAATGGAAACCACTTCAAGCCAGGGGGTGTGGCAGCCCCCCCCCAGCACCCCTAGTTCCAGCACCTATCGAGCTGAGATTAGAACTCGGACATTTTTGGCACACACCCCATTTCACTAGACTAGGGATCGGCAACCTTTGGCACACGGCCCGCCAGGGAAAGCTGCTGGTGGGCCAGGAGGATTTGTTTACCTGCAGCGTCTGCAGGTTTGGCCGATTGCAGCTCCCACAGGCCAATGGGGGCAGCAGGAAGGGTGGCCAGCACATCCCTCAGCCCACGCCGCTCCCCACAGTTCCCATTGGCCTGGGACAGCGAACTGTGGCCAGTGGGAGCTCTGATCAGCCGAACCTGCAGACATTGCAGGTAAACAAACTGTCCAGGCACACCAGCGGCTTTCCTTGGTGGGCCGCGTGCCAAAGGTTGCCAATTCCTGCACTAGACCATATTGCCTCTCCCATTAGGCAGAATTTCACATAAAACTGCCAACATTCCAGCACCATTGCCTTAATCAGTAATCCGTAAAGTTATGACGACAGCCTTCTGAGAGAATAAACAAGTGATCTAACAATAAGCAAATTGTTTTTACTCTGAATACTCTGAGTGTTACACAATACAGAAACTCACTACTACCACTTGAAAAGGATGGTTCTTTTAAAGCAGTCACTAGCTTCTTGATGTGCAGCTGGAGTGTAATACAGAGCAGATATCACTAAAAAGAATAAAGCCATTCCAGCAATTCCTCTAAAGGTGAAATGTAAAGCAAGGCACATTTACTGCTCGCTTATATTAAAATGGGCTCTACTTGTTCATTTATTTTTTAATTCCCTCCTCCCCATTCCAGCTTGCCTTGTTTGTTTTATCACTGGGAATATCAAGTCCTGACTTCCCTTTTTTTGATGAGGACTTTTGCAAGATTTTGGAGGACCAGAAGGATGACACTGCTAAAGGCTGCAATCAGAGATGAAACTACTACCCAGGTTAGCTTACAAGGAAAACTTCATGCACAAAGGCCATCTTTACAATAGACTTCTGTTCCTCAAATTTCCCTGCTGTTAGTGCCACTACTGGAAACACTAATGTGAACTCAGCACAGAGGGTCACCAGCATTTTAATCACTGCACAGTACTGATCTGTTCAGAGCAGGTTTACATGATAAGGTGGTTAAGATATTGGTGCCCTATCTACAGTCCACTGTTGCTACCACTAGTGGAGCTCTCTCCCTTTCTAAGGGCTATATGCTTCAATGGAATCACCTATTGTAGTACCAGATTGACTTACCAACTCAAAGGAAAAAGGCATAAACAGAGTCCTGCTCAACCTGATACAGAGCAGCAGCAAATTCCATGGCCCTCCACTCAATGTTCCTCCCTTGGTTCATTCAAGACCCTGGAGATACCTAACCAAAGTATCCCTGCCAATCATAGTTATTGTTTCAGGCCACAGAGGGAGAGGCAGTTAGTCTGGTAGCTGATACAATAAGGATTCTGAAGAGGAGCACTAGCATCTTGAATTGGACTCTCAATTTAACTGGCAGCGAATGTTAAGTGTAATGTAGTAGTATGATGTGCTCTCACTGGTGGGCACACTTCGCATGTGGAATGCTACAAGCAGCAGTAGCTGCACCTTTTGTTGACCTTCAGGATCAGCCTCCTGTGAAAACTACTGCAATAGTCTAACCTTAAGGTGACAAAAGCACGGATCACCGTGGCTAATCACATCCTCAGTAGAAAGGGCACAGTCTCATCAGGTGAAGATGAAAACATTACTGACTACTTGGAAACCCACAGAAGAGTTGAAAAGGACAATAAAATAATGAAGGAACTGAAGAATATATCCAACTTATCAAATATCCATAGCCCAGCCATTGATTTCTCAAAATGCTGCTCTCTTCCAACCATCACCATCTCTATCTTGTCTATACTGAACCTTAGCCTGCCGTTTTCCCCCCACGTCCCTCTTTTAACCAAACATCAGAACAGCAGGGAAACCACACTGTCAGTTCTAGATAAGAGGACAGCTAGGTCTCATCAGCACATTGGTGGCACAACAATAGGTTCTCAATCGCCTTTACAAGTTAAGCGAGAGGGACTGGAAGATTGAGCTACACAGGACTCCAAAAAGGTAAGCATCCTTAGTGAAGAGGAGCAACTGCTATCACCACTCAGATCTTTCCCACAGGAATGCTCAAAGCTATCATAAAGACTTTCCCTACACCAGTCAGCAATAACTTCAGCAGGCAGCACTGCAATACACAGTCTAGCAGCATACAGGCCTGGGTGGGCGCTTTGGAACAGCAGCAGCAGCTGTGTTTTCCATGCCTTTGTTACACACAAGAGTGAGAGATCAGCTAAAATCACCACTGCCTGTGGACAATGGTGCCAGTATACAATGGCATTGCCCTATACTTATAGTTACATGCAACCAAGCAATTCCCTCATTTCCCTTACCCCGCCAGGTCATACTCACCCTGGCTGGTGCTGTGAGCGGCGCCATACACAAGCACTCCCAAGCAGAAGTGTCAATAGACATGTCTTGTTTAAAACTTTAGGGGAGAAAGGGAAGGGAATTCTGAATCTTAACTCTTGCTCTCTGTTGTGACTATACTGACAATGGTACTTCTGTGTGTTTTATCTGCAGCTGCTGCCATGGCACCCTTGAGCGGTTCCCCCTCCACACTCACACAACTCCTGAGCCAGACAAGGAGGAGAAAGAAAAGGACTTGGGATGACCTGTTCAATGAGATCCTGCAAGCCAGTGCTGCATCAGACCTTGAGCAAAAGGCCTGGAAGATGAACATTGCAGCTGGCCTAGAGAAGGAAAGAGCAGACTGGAGAAAGGCTCTGGAGTCCCAGCAGGAAAAGAAGAGGGAGATGCACCAGGACATAATGGGGCTTCTCCAGCAGCAAAAACAGATGCTGCAGACTCTTATGGACCTACAGATTTAACAATCACAGGCTCTCCTCCCCTTTCAGTCCACGGAGATCTCAATTACAACACCTCTCTACACCCCTCCCCCCACCCCCCAAACATTCTATGTGGCATCAGGGGCCTCATCCCTACCCCTACTACTCCACCCCGGGGGACATTAAGACAACCACAGCCTCACATTCAGCAACCGTGGCTTTCACAGGTCAGTGTATGTGTAGGTAAAATGGACATGAATGTTCTTTACCCTTCAGAAGTTCTGCTCCATTAATTTATTAAGTTTTTAATATATTTGCTTTTAAAATTACAGATTTTTTCTTTGCACTGGTTTTGTTACTGACTAAAATTCTATTATTTGGAAAATAATTTATCTTTATTAGTTCACAACATATGCTGCAGAGTGCCTAGCAGTTCTGAAGGCACCCACTTATTTGTTACTGTTCAGCGTGACAACTCACAGGATCAATAACAAACAGTAATAATGTACAGCAAGCACTATAAAATTAATAGGTGCATTTGTTTCACAGATATTATGCAGGACACGACAGCTATAACCTTTGGGATGTTTTTTCATTGAGGTCCACTCTTATGAGTAAGCAATGCCAGCATCCCTTCAATCATAAGAATCATAGAATATCAGGGTTGGAAGGGACCTCAGGAGATCATCTAGTCCAATCTACCAAAAGTTCATTCAACTGTCATTCTGCACCTGCTGAGCTGGTAGTTGAATATTTCGTTGGTGCACTCGAGGTGGTCAGTGTATGGCTTCATAAGTCAGAGGAGCAAGAGGGAGGCTGGTGTGACAGGTTGGACCCCTTAAGGTGCTACCTGATGTGCTGAGATACCACTGAGCCCGCCTAGGCACCCTTTTTACCTGTCTTGCTGTGCTAGGCTATTAAGCCTTCTCCAGCACACACACAGGCAGGGCCACACCCAACTGCAGAACGAAACAGACACTGAGATCAGTTCTGGGAAGGCTCATCTTAAGGGACTTGCCCCAGCACTCAGGTGTCCACCTCCCTTGGAGTGCAGACCCAAAGGTATATCATGAAATCCGCCTCCTCCCTCAATGTGGAGGAAGGTATGCACAGCCTCTTATCCCCCCCAATTATGAATTGTACAAATTGGGTTATATTATAAACAAGAAAAGTTTATTAACTACAAAAAGTGGATTTTAAGTGAATATAACATAGACAGAACAAAGCAGATTACTAAGCAAATAAAACCAAACGCAAACTAAGCTTGTTTCACTAAAGAAATTGGTTACAAACAGTAATTTCTCACCCTAGATATCATTGCAGGCAGATTACAGAAAGTCTTGAAAGGCAGCTGCACTGGTCTCCAGCTTGACACCTCAAGTATTGTTACTCACAAGCTAGACACCCTTCCAGCTTAGGCGCAAGCCTTCTCCCCCCCCCCCCCAGTTCAGTTCTTGCTTCCAGGTGTTTTTCAGTGTCTCTTTGGGTGGGGAGGCAGAGGAGAACCTCGATGATGTCACTCCCCTGCCTTATATAGCTCTTGTGGAAGAACACTGGCATTCCAAGGGGTGGGTCCAGTACCAAGTGACTCAGACCCATGCCTCTGCAGGGCTGTGGCAGCCATTACTCGTAGGCTGTCTGGAGCGTCCACAAGACGACTAAGCTCTTTCACAGTCCATTGTTTTTGCTAATGGGCCATTAGCCCTGTCTGGCTTTTCCATTGTTGTACCTGAAGGGCTAATTGGGGGTGACACCCAAAGTAACATATTTGAAATA